TTATTTTTTATATATTTTATGTATACTATTTTTATTTTAAAAATATTTTATTTATTATTTTTATTTTTTGTGATGCCAGTGTATTACCTGTATGTATGTCAGTGCACATGTGTTGTGCAGTGCCCACAGAAGTCAGAAGAGGGCATCAGATTCCCTAGACTGGAGTTAGAGATGATAGTTAACCACCACCTGGCTGCTGGGAACTGAACCCAGGTCCTCTGCAAGAGCAGCCAGTGCTCTTAACCACTGAGCCATCTCTCCAGCCCCCTATTTTCTTATTTTACTTATTTGTTTATTATTTCTTTTGGTACTGAAGATTAAACTCGGGACATTGCGCATGCTAGGCAGGGGCTCTACCACTGATCACACCCCAGCCCCTCACTGGGGGATTCTAGGCAGGGGCTCCACCACTGAGCACACCCCAGCCCCTCACTGGGGGATTCTAGGCAGGGGCTCTACTACTGAACCACATTCCCAATGGTGGATTCTAGATACTCTTCCTCTAATCCATGCTCCCAACTTGACTTTTTTCTTTATAAACTTGCCTGCTCCTGTTGAAACTTTAAATCCAACACTTTGAGAAGCAGTGGTGTCTATCTTTAATCCAGGCACTTAGGAGGCAGATGCTCTGTGAGTTAAAGACCAGCCCAGTCTACATAGTGAGTTCTAAGCCAGCCAGGACTGCATAATGAGACCCTGTCTTAAGCAAAACAAAAACAAAAACTCAACAGTAAATATTAAATGTGTAATAAAAATGAGTTGATTGTTAAAAAGAAAAAGAATTTCCATGCAATGGACCACTACGCAGCCATTAAAAGGACGAGGCAGCTGGGTAGAGTGGCTCACTTCTGTAATTGCAGAATTCAGGAAACTGAGGTAAGGAGAATTGCCAAGAGTTCAGGGCCAACCTGAGCTATAGAGTAAGACTCTGTCTCAAAAATTCCAAAACCTAGTACAGGGAAGTTGGCTCAGGGGTAAAAGCACTGCACAAGCATGAGGTCCTGAGTTTGAATTCCCAGCATCCATGTCAAAAGCAGAGTGTGGCCTGATGAGTGCCTATAACCTCAGCACTGTGGCACAGGAATGCGGGGTAGAGACAGGAGTACTGCTAGCTGGCAGCCAGCCCAGCTGAAAAATGGCTACTTGGGGTTCAGTCATAGACTCTGTCTCAAGGTTATAAAACAGAATGTTAGAGCAGGTCACCCAACAGCTTCTTTTGGCCTTTGCAGGCATGTGCAGTGCACAAATACACACACACACACATGCAACCACCCAAAACAAAAAAGCAAGGGGCAATAGAGAGATCGCTCAGTGCTTAAGACCCCTTACTGTTCTTCCAGAGGACTTAAACTCTGTTCCCAGAACCATAGGTTGCACAACCATGGCTAACTCCAGCTCTGGGGAATCTAGTGGACTTTTCTGGCCTCCAAGGGCACCTGCACTCAAGCCACATACACATACACACACACACACACAAATAAATAAATAAATAAAAACTAAAATAAATCTTTAAAAAAATAAGCAAACAATAATTGGGCAGGAAATAGGGATGTACCTCAAGAGGTAAAATGTTAGCCAAGCACATGCATGGCCCCAAGGTCCAATTACCAGGATCACTGGGTAAATAATGCACACCTTTATTCCCAGCACTCAGGAGACAGTGGCATGTGGATCTCTGTGACAATGAGGCCAGCCTGGTCTATGTAGTGTGTTCCAGGCCAGCCAGGGACACAGGGAAGCCCTGTCTCAAAGAAAAGTTTTTATTTTTATTATTTTAACAGTGCCAGAGATTTAAAAAAAAAACTTATTTAAATTTTTTTTACTATAGCTCCTACTGATTCTTTGAAAAAAATAAAAGATTGTTATTGAATTTTTGTGTATTTCATATAGAACATCTTAACCATCTTTATACCCCCTTCCCCATTGGCCCCCTCCCATAGCCCCCCTCACTGGAATTCATACATTCTTTCATTTGTGTTAAGGCCTAACATGTAAAGTTAGTGTCCCAAGATGTCTCTCGGTGCAAGTTTATCCACTGAGGTCTAGTCAGCCTATCTAGGGTCTCTCCCTTCAAGATCAGCTCTTCCTCACCCAGCAGTAATCAGCTGCCAATAATTCTTTGACTAAGATTAGCCTGATGCCCATTTCCACAGTTCTGTAATGGGTTTTTGTCTGCTTGAGTTTCCATGGGTCTTGTGCATGCTGACACCATTGCTGTAGGTTTGCATGAGAAGGGTCCCAAGCACCTGTAGGACTATTTCCATATGGTCATGCGCCTCCTTCCTGACTCTTACAATCTTTCCACCCCCTCTTCCACAATGGTCCCTGAGCCCTGGCTGGGTGGATTTTAATATAGGAGTCCTGTCTAAGGACTCACACTCTACAGACTCTTATTCTCTATGTTATGGTCATTTGTGGCCATTTGTGTTCCTAGCCCTCTGTTGCATGAGGGAGCTTTTTGATAATAATTGAAAGATGTATTAGGGTTCTCTTCCTCCCTTGTTCTATGTTCTGTGAGACTTAGGTGTAGAGGTTGTATCCTAGATGTGCCACTTAGGTCTGGGCAATTCACAGACAATCTCTGTGTGTGACCAATTGTGGAACTCTGTAATAATCTCTGTTGAAAAAAAGCTTCTTTGGGGTTGGAGAGATGGCTCAGCAGTTAAGAACACTGTTCTTGCAGAAGACCTGGGTTCGAATCCCAGCACCCACATGGCAGCTAACAACTGTCTGTAACTCTAGTTCCAGGGGATTCAACAGCCTCTTCTGTCCTCGGTGGGCATTGCACGACATGGGTGCAGTTACGTACGTGCAGGCAATACACGCATACACATGAAATAAAAATAATAAATAAAAATTTTTTAAAAAAGAAAAATGCTTCTTTGATGGGTGGTGACTGGGATACTTGTCTGTAAATTTAAGAATCCATATTTTGCGCATAGTAAGAAATTGCATTAGCCTAGGGATGTGACAGTCTTGGGGTTTTCTCTAAGTTCTATGACCTCTCCAGGTATGTGTATTTGGTTAGGTTTACAGTACCACATATGAGTTTTCTCCCACTGAGTGGGCTTTAAGTCCAATTAGGTGGTTGTTGATTACTCCCAAGATAAAAGTGCCACTACTGCACCAATGTCATTTGCTATGCTGGTCATTGATGTGGTTTTAGGCCTTGAAGCTGGGGTTGGACCATTGATTGATGTCCTCCCTTAGCAGCTTACCTAGTGCTCTCCAAAGCTATGAGAGCTAGCCTTCAGGGAGGAGGCTTCCAGGTCAGTTCCAGCTCCAAATCCTGTGTCCAAAGTATGTCCTGTCTTGAGCAGTAGGCTCTTACCTTCAAGTTCTGGGAGGCAATCAAGGGCTGTGGCAATAGCCTGTGTAACTTGGGAGTCTCTTGGACTACCCTGGCCAACAATTCAAAGAAGGTTTTTCCTGTCCGGCACTGTTTCTTGTTATGTAGCCTTCAGCTATACAAATGGACTCATGTAGAGACACTGTATGTGTAATCATTCAGTAGGTTTTTGGACTAAAATTTAAAATTCTTTTTATTTATGTGTATGTGTATGTATGTCTGTTTGTGTATGCCACGTGTGTGCAGTTGCTCACAGAGCCCAAAAGAAGGTATTGGATTCCTCGGAGCTAGAATTATGTTGTGAGTCACCTGATATGGGTGCTGGACACCAAACTGGGGTCCTCTGGAAGAACAGTAAATACTCTTAAGTACTAAGCCATCTCTCCAGTCAGAAAACTTCTTGTGTGTGTATGTGTGCATATATGTCTGCATATATGTGTATATGTGTGAATATATGTATGTGTGTATATGTGACTATATGTGTGGATGTCTATGTATGGGTGTGGATGTGTGCATGTGTGTACATGTGTGTGTGAACATGGACATTTGAGCAGGTATGTGGGGAGGTAAGAGGGCAATCTTGGGTGTCATTATTTTTATGTGTGTGAGTGTTTTTCATGAATGAAGTGCACCTGTGTCATGCAATGCCTACAGAGGCCAGAAGAAGGCACTGTATTCCCGGAAGTGAAGTTATGAATGGTTACTGGCTGGGTCCTCTGCAAGAGCAGCCAGTGTGCTCTTAACCACAGAGCCATCTCTCCAGCAACCCCTGCCTTTTTTTTTTCTTGAGACAGTGTCTCTCACTGACCTACAACTCACCAAGTCAACAAAGCTTGCCTGGCCAACAGACCCCAGGGATCCACCTGTCTCCACTTTCCCATTGCTGAGATGATCAGTGTGGGTTCTGGGGATCCAACTCATGCCTTCATGCTTGCAAGGCAAGCACTTTACTAACTGAGCTATCTCGCCAACCAGAAAACAGCTATACATATTTTACTAAAATAATGAGCTCAGGCATCGTGATACAGACCTGTAATGCCAGCCCTCAGAAGGCTAAGGCAGGAGGATCTCAAGTTTGAAGCTAGCCTTGGCTACATAGCAAGATTCAGTGCATCCCAGACTGCATAGTGAGAGACTATCTCAAGAAATAAATAACTCACAGCATGCTTACATAAGCAACTTATTTTAATGAAAAGTGGCTAGAGGTTTTCAAAACAAAACAAATATATATATATATATATATATATATATATATATATATATGTATTCTAAAATCTGCTCAGCCCTTTTCTTACTAGAAGAAGGGTAGGTCCTGGTCCAGAAATGTCAACCTTGTTACTGGGAAGGCTGAGGGAGGAAAATAGGAAGTTTGAGGCCAGCCTGTGCTATGGGGTGAGTTCCAGGCCAGCTTAGGCAAATTAGTGAGACTCTGTCTCAATATAAAAATTCTAGGGACTGAAGAGAGAGCTCAGTGGTTAAGAGACAGTACGAGTTCAATTCTCAGCACCCACGTCAGGCAGCTCACAGTTGCCCATAACTCCAGCTCCAGGAGATCCAACTCTGGTTTCCAAGGGCATCAACACACATTTGCACAGGCCCACACACAGACACGCACAGAAACACATACACATATATACATAATTTTAAATCTTTTTAATTTTTCTTTATGTCAAAGAAGCTTGACGGTGTAGCTCAGGGGCACAGCATGTCTGGGTTCAGGTGGAGGCCTGTTTGCATTCAGTCTGTTATCTTCATACCTGTCCTGATTCCACAACACTATGTATTTCATAAAGAAATAAGACTGTGGGGCTGGAGAAATGGCTCAGTGGTTAAGAACACTGGCTGTTCTTGCAGAAGACCTGGGTTCGAATCCCAGCACCTACATGGCAGCTAACAACTGTCCATAACTTCAGTTCCAGGGATCCAACAGCATCTTCTGTCCTCTGTGGGCACTGCATGACATGGGTGCACTTACCTACATACAGGCAACACACACATACACATAAAATAAAATAATAAATAAAATATTTTTTAAAAAAAGAAAAAAAGAAAGAAGACTGTAAAGGGAGTTGGGCGTGGTGGTGCACGCCTTTAGTTCCAGTACTCCGGAGGCAGAGACAGGCAGATTTCTGTGAGTTCAAGGCCAGCCTGAACATAATGAATTCCAGGCCAGCCAGGGTTTTATAGTGAGCCCCTGTCTCAAAAAAGAAAATAAATAAAGGAAAAAATAGTGCAAAAGGAAAATAAGTTGGTTTTGACCCTGGTTTTGCTTTTTGTTTACTTATTTCTTCCTTTAAGTTTTTTTTAAAAAATCTTATTTTTATTTGTATATGTGTGTGTGCGAATGCACATGTGTGTATGTATGCACATGCATGTGGAGGTTCAGAGGATAACTTTTGGTAGTCAGTTCCTCTCCACCCACATGTGGAGCTCAGGTTTGGGAAGCAAACACTTTTACCTGCTGAATTCTCTCTTGCCCCCTAAAAATGTGCTTCTTTTTGTTTTGTTTTGTTTTGTTGTTTTGTTTTGTGTCTCTTGTAGCCCAGGTTGACTTTAAATTCTGTATGCATCTGAAACTGGCCTTAAACTCTTCATCCTCTTCATCCTCCTCCCTTCCTCCCTCCCTCCCTCCTTCCTCCCTTCCTCCTTCCTCCTTCCTCCCTTCCTTTCTTTCCTTCCTTCCTCTTCTACCTCC